GGGCCGCGCCGCGCACCATTACCGCCGCGCCGCGCAGCGAAGAAGGCGCGCCCGACGGGGGCGGCGCACGCGCGCAAGAAGAGCACGTGCAAGGGCGGTCAGAGATCGCGGCCTCCGAGAGGTGGCCTCCCACGGAAGCGACAACTGCCATGTCCATGCCGCCGTTGTGAAACCGTCGGTCGCCATCGCCCGCAGCCTCTCGCGGGCCCCGCGCTGGCGCGTCGGCCACGTTTTGTTTTGACGGAATGCGCCGGAAGCTGGCCGCACAATCGTGGACGGCTGCAGCCAGCCATATGCCTGTCACCTGATCGCACGACGCGGCGCTGCGCGACCGCGCGCGCGCCGCGAGTGGACGGCGCGCCAGCTCGCTAAAATCATTTTCGCGCGACGAGCCCCAGCGCAGAATTCCAGGCGCGGTAGTGCTGTCAACGAAAACGACGACCTCCGCGTCCAGGCAGGAGCGGAACACATGGAACAGCCCCGCGAGCGCCGCAATTATCTCGAATGCTGCCGCCTGCGTCTTCCGGAAGTTCAACCATTGGTTGGCCCCGCTCGGAGCCGCGGCGGAGGTAAACTCCTTCCCGGCCAGCGACACCGTCGCCCACGCAAGGACCCCCCGGCACGTCGCATCCGCGCACAGCAGGGCCCGCGGGCGGTCGCGCCATGCGCACGGGCACGCGCGGGAGGGCCTGGCCTCCAAGAAGCGCAGCCACCAGGCCAGCGAGCGGCGTAGGCGCCCAGGTACTCTGTGCGACCGCTGGTTGGAGGAACAGAGGTGCCAGGTGCGGCCTCGCTGGGCGTCCGAAGACTTGGCTCGCGGCCCATCTCAATCGCCCGGCCAATTGCTGGGCCTCCGCCGGGGACAGGCATCCCCGCCGCAGTATGCCTTCGATCTGGGCCACCCACATGCCCGCGCTTGCCTCGGGAACCGACAAGCGCAGAGACTGACTCTCGTCGCAGCACTGGACGCGCACACCGAGGACCTTGGTCTCTTCCGCGCCAACACACTCTCTGTCGTGGTCCAGGGCCCACCCCAGCAAATCCTCGATTACCTGGCGGTTGACCTCGGCCTCGCCGTCGGGCCCCGCGCACCGACCGGCCCGCGGCGGGCGCTCGCGGTTAACGGAGAAGGCATCGCCCACGTAGCTGCCCCTGCCCACGTAAAATAAAACCACCAGGATGCGACGGATGGCTCGCCCGAGGCGCCCCCGCTGGGAGCCAGACGCCTTCGCGCCGAAAGCGAACAATTTCAAGCACTTGAGGGTGCCGGCCCCGTCGTCCCACGCTGCACTCGCGTTTTTCAGCGCATCGGAGTGAAGCGGAAACGTCTTGCATGCGCCGACGAAATCCGATTTGTCCAGCCTCAGCAGCGCCCTGGCGCTGTCCGCTGCGGCTAGCCGCGCCATCGCTACCAGCGCGCCTAGGGCGTCTGCAGTCATGGCCGCAAGCGGCGCGGAAGCACCGTTGACCCAGCTGGCCGTAAAGTCGTCAAGCGCGCGAACCTTGCGCTTCCATGGCCCGTTGCTCAAGAGTTTGAAGCCTTCATCAACAGCGAGTCGCGGAGTGATGACGCCGCCGCGCATGGCCCCATTAATGTCAGCCCGAGCGGCGCGGCCTCCGACGCGCGATGGTGGGGCGCGCAAAGAAGGGCCGCTGCGCGGATGCCGCGTCGCCTGCGCTGACTCTCTCTTCGGCCTTCTGTTCGAAGGCGCCCCGAACGCCCGGGCCCAGTTCCGCCGGCCGGCGCGCGCGTCGGAGCACGTGAGTTGTTCTGGTGCGCCCGCCCCTGCAGCTCGGCCTCACTGCGCGCCGCGGGGCGCCGCGCTGGGGGCGCGATGCCCGCGGGGGGCATCGGGCCCGCCAGGTGGAATCCCTGCGTCAGATCCGTCGCCAGGCTCGCATCCGAGCAGCCCACCGCTTCCATCATCTCCTTCGCAGCAGCGCGGCGCCGCGCCATGGGCGGCGCGCGGGCGATATATATATATATATATATATATACAGAGAGAGAGAGAGAGAGAGAGAGAGAACACACAAAAAAAAGAAACAACGATAGAGAGAGAGAGAGAGAGAGAGAGAGAGAGAGAGAAAAAAAAAGAGAGAGAGAGAGAGAGAGAGAGAGGGATAGAGAGAGAGAGAGAGAGAGAGAGGTCGCGCTGCACCTGCAACAGGAAGACGTTCTTGCGATCTCCCAGGACCGACTGGACGCGCCGTGGCAGCGTGGCGAGGTGGGCCCTCCAACCCTCGCCCAGGGCTTTCCGTCGCTGGCCCCAAAAAAGAGACGCATCTCGGCGGGCGCGTTGCAGCTCAGACCACGGCGCGGCGCCCGCCCAGCGCGCGGCGGATTCCACTTCGCTCGGGCAGGTCGCTGGCGCCGCGGACCGCGGGAGCGACTGCGCCCGCCGCAAGTGGTCAAGCGGGGGCATGGCCTCCACCCGGGACTGGTCAGAGAGTAGCGCGTCGACCTCTTCGCGAATGGCATAAATGTCGTCTTCACGTGGCCACTTGAAGACGTCCATGAATTCGTGATCCTCGACGCCGCCGCCCAGGGCGCGGCGCGCGACGCGCGCGCGGAAGGGGCGCGACGGCGCGCGCCGAACAGGCGCCTCCGCAGGGATTATGACGGCGCCGTGCTCACCGTTGCTTGGGCACGGGCAATCGCAGTCGGCGTCGCAACCGCCTGCGCGCCGATCCATCGCGGATCCCGGGCCCGCGTGAGCGCGCTGCCCGCGCCCCGAATTCTTCGCCATTGCATCCGCGCGCGAAAAAAAACAAACGTCGCCGCCCGGCCCTGCGCGCTGGAGGCGACTCGCCCGCGAGCGCTCGCGCGGCGTCTGCGAAGAGACGATGCCACTGGCCGACGTCTCGCACTCACAGGCAAGTTGTATATGCAACACGTCGGGGCGTGCGCCGGGCTGCGCGCAGGCGCGCGCGCCCCGGCGCCGCGCGCCCATGCAGGGCGCAAGTGACGCGCCCCTAGTCACTCGTTTGAAAAGCACAGGGGCGGGGCGCTGCTCCCGGCCCACTGGGCACTGCTCCGCGAGCGGATCCTCGCTGGCGTCGTTGGTATGCGAGAGTCGCCAGATTCTCGGCGCCGCGCGCGCGCGGCGCGGGCCAGAAGATGCGCCCCGATGGGGCGCCTTCCCCGCGCCGCCTTTCCCAAAATCGCCCCGGCCCTTGCGGCCGCCGCGTCCCATCGCGGGGGCGCCCTTTGCGGGGCCGCGCGGCGCCTGGCGCTGCGCGACGAATCGGCGGCGCTCCACTTCGCGCCGCGCGGCGGGCCTGCCCGCTGCCCTTGCCGTGCCCGTGCCCCCTCGACAGCTCCACTTCGGCCTGCCTGAGCAGGGGCGGGTTCGCGACCCGAGACTCATTGTCGATGTCGCGCGTCGCGCCACCTGGGCGCCGGCGGTCGCGCCCCCGCTTGCGGCGCGGCGCGGGTAGAACAACGGCGGATGAAACGGGGGCGCGCCCGACGCGGCTCGCCCGTGCCAGCTCTCGCTGGCGACGCAATCGCAACAGATGCCGAGCTGCGCGCCCCTTTCCTGGGCGCCCATCCCTACCTGCAAGGGCGCGCAAGCGGGGCGGGCCAAACGCCGCCGCGGGACGCGGAAGAAGGCCAGCGCCGCCTGCATGCATATGTCGCGGCGCGCGAAGGCGGCGGCGCCAGACAAGTGGCTGCCGGCGACGGCCGCCGTCGAATACCTTGCATTTCGCGCGCGCGCGCCCGCGCGCGCCGGGGGAGGCCGAGAACGGGGCGCCGCGCCTTCCCCGCGCGACCTGCCACTGGAGCATGGGCCAGTCTGCGCCCCTCCCTTTTTTCCGCGTGGGCTCCCATTTTTCGCGCGAGCTGGGATACTTCGCCGGGCGCCGGCCCGGCGGTCGCGCGTCCGCTCCGACTCAGCCTGCAACGGGGGGGGGCGCCGCAGGTCTGCGCGAACGAAACTCGCCATGCCCCTGTCAGCGGCACGCGCACCTTTAGCGTGTAAGTCGTCCACCGCGGCAGCCCTCGCGAGCACGGCTCGCGCGGCCCGCGCGGCGCTAGGCGGCAAGAAGAAGTGGGGGCTCGCCGCGGCCAGACCCGGGCGCCCTGCCGCGCGGCCCCATGTCGGGCAATTTTTCCGAGAAGGACGCCCGCGTCATGGCCGATCCACTCGCGCGCGCAGCATTCTCGCGCTCCGTCGCGGCCAGCGCGGACTTGGCGACCGCCCGCCTGTGACGCGCGCAGCGCGAACCCGCGCGGGCGAACCCTCCGGCGCCTCGAGCCGCGCCTGACGAGTCCGCGCTTGAGCCCTGGATTCTCGAGATCCCTGGACTGGAGATCGCCGACATCTAACCCGACCAGGTCCTGCGCGGCAGTGATCCCATAACCCATGAGCACTCAGCCACGCTCGTGATGAACGCGGCATGGCGAGCCGCACCGTCCACGTCGCCCAAGAAAGATTGCAAGGAAACCGCCATGATCGCACTCGGGGCGAAGGCAGCTGCCGAACCCTACGGCAAAACACGGGGCGATCCTCGCTCCCTTGGCGCCACCTGCACCGCGCGCACGCCACCCGGTCACGCGCCGGCCACCAGACACTCACTGGGGGATATGGGAAAAAGCGTCACCCAACCATCGGTGCAGACCGCGCCACATGCGCGCCACCTGGCCACGCAGCAATGACCTGGCCCGAACAAAACGACCAGAACGAACCTCGCCCACCTTGTGCCACCTGCACCGCGTGCGTGCCACCCACTCACACGCAGACCACCAGAGACTCGCTGACGAGAAAGAAAGGCCCCCGAACCCACGGTGCAAACCACACCTGATGCGCGCGTCCTGGCCACGTAGCGACGCCCAGGCCAACGAAAGGACGGACTGACGCGGAAGAGCCGCCAAGCAGCAGGGCCCAAGACCGCGGCCAGGCCGCCGGGCAAGGCGGACAGACAGGCAGACGGACGACGGACGACCGACGGACGGAAGAGGGATGGAGCGAAGCGGCGATAGCCACCCACCGATGCAGCGGACAAACAGAAGCAGGAACCAGGCGCCCATCGCGCGGCGAGAAACCACGACGCCGCCCACCGCCAGGGTCCATCCCTTGGGCGGTGGCGGCCGCTGAGAAACCCCCCCCGCGCCCGAAGCCCCTTGGCGGGGGGGGCTTGAGCCGCTCTCCCGAGCAGCGCAGCCATGACGCGCGGCGCCGCGCTGTTCCGCGCTGGCGCCCGCGCAACAACGTCGTTCCCCGCTTGTGTCCCGCAACAACGCAAGCGCCGGGTTGTCGAAATGTGAATCAGAGGCACTTCGATTGGCAACATAGAATGTAGATCCCGGCTTGGCTGATTCGCCAGGTCGTCGTAACGAACTGATCCAGAGCTTTCGGCCGGTAAACAAGTATGTGCCGGAGGATCCAGAGATTTTGACTGACACTGGACGGTATACCGACAGTTTGGAAACGCACAGCTAGGTAGATGTAGGAAAGGGCAGCCGGCCGGCCGAGGGCGCGCCCCTTTTCCATCTGATTGCAGCCAGGTGCAGCTGCGGTTGACGCGATGACCCGCGGCGGTGTCCGGCGTCAGCGGCGGCGGATGACGGCGAGGAAAGAGTCATATTACCTGGATGCCCCGCGCGGAACAAGCCCAGAGCGCGCAAGCATGGCTGTGGATGTTCTTCGCTCGTGAGCGTCGCCTGTTAACTTGCAGACCCCCGGGAGGGGGCGAAACATGCAGCCGTGTCTTTCGGTGAGGATCGTATCTGATTCGGGAGCAGACGCGTTGTGCTGCCTCTCCTCCGGCTTCGCCTCCCCCTCGTCAGATGCTCGTTCTGGGGACTTTCCTGGAACCACTCGCTCCACGGGTGGCCGATGCTGCGTAGAACATCAGTCGACTTGAGGCGAATTTGAGTCGAACTAGGGTCGAACCACAGAAGAACAGACTCGGCCGGTGACCCCAGGAAAGTCTCCGCAACGAGCATCTAATTCTCTGGCTGCTCCTCCCCTTCCACCTCCCTTCAAAAGATATCCAAACTCCGAGGCCAACAGGGAGCACGATGCCCTCGCGCCGGCCGAACGGAATGCGAGGGCCGTGCTGCACCACGGCTGACCAGGAGCCATGAAACAAAACAGAATGCGGCGGACAGCATCATCGTCCCCACCCTCATCCTGCTGCTGCTGCTGCTGCTGCTGCTGCTGCTGCTCAAAAACTGGTCGATGACGAGAGGGCCGTGCCCTCTGGACAGCCGCATCTCCACGAAGCCCAGGAGACGCATCAAGCGGCCTGGAGCGGTCGCGCGCGTCAGCTGACTGCGTAGGGGCAGAAGCCTAACGATAAGCAGCAAGGAGAGCCGAGCCTGCTCAAAAAAGAACTTAGGGCTTACGCACTCGGTGATCGCAAAAAGCGTAACATGAGATGGCTCTGCTTGAATGCTCCGCGCACCCCAAGCGTCACCAGAAGAACCCCACCCAAGATTAGGCAGACTGCATGGTACTGTCCACTGTCATATGCTGCCGAGGCACATAAGCTGCTGATACGCACCAGTGGTGATGGAGCTTGCCAGGTGGGCTGGCGGGTTCGTTGGGCTGGCTCGCCGGACTGGGCGGGTCTGGCAGCGCAGGGGGTGGAAGCCGCCACCCTCACGCAGGAATCTCAGAGTGAGAGAAGCCTCCCAATTGGGGTCCGAGTCGATGGGGTCGGAGGATCACGCCGCATCGCCGACGCATCGGCGCCATCGGCGAATACAAAATGGGGCTGCACATCGAGCCGAATCGCCGATGTATCGAGGATGCGGCGCAATCCTCTGACACGATTTGCTCGAATGCCATGTGGGAGGTCTACCGGGATGACCGAGTGGGTGATATGGAGGTCGGGAGGTTACGAGTGGATGCCAAGGTGGCTCATGTCTGACCTAGCATAGCTTACAAGTGCGTCAGACAAGCCAGAGGCGGCTTAGGGAGGCAACCGCGCTCTTGTAATCCACTTCTGCGCTAGGCTCGGCCAGATAGAACCTATCTTAGCACACACTCATCAGACCCTCTCCACTTAGCAACCCCCGCGGTGATCCACGCAGAGTGAGGGTGGGCAGGGCGACGCGACTTGAGCTGCCTCCTGGTCGCGCGGATGTACCGGAGGCTCCGCGGTCCGACTTTGTGCCATCGTGCTCGCGGCCCCACCCGCGACTCGCTGGCGACCCGCCTGCGTTACCCGATCGGCACGTACCCCGCCGCGACCCGCCCCCTCCGCGACCTTCCCGGCGACCCTCGGCTCGGACGACCTGCTCCCGCCATCCTCCTCGTTCCCCGGCCCGGATTTACATGGGACAGACCTGGTCCAAGTGGGGCCCTGCCACGGTCCCCACATGCGGTCTGGGAAAAGCGCGTGGGACCACCGGATGCGGGACCACTGCTGCTCCTATGGGAGCGTGCTCGGCAAGATCCGGGCGGGGCACCACTCGATCCAGGAGAACTCGGGCCGAGTGCAGCCCGGGGAACCTCATGCGCGAAAACGACGGGCCCGAAGCATTGCAAAAACGAAGGATTGCAAAAAAAACCCTTGAACGAAGGATTGCAAAAAAAATGGTTTGTTTCTGTTTTTTTTTGCAATCCTTCGTTTTTTTTGCAATCCTGGTATTTTTTGTTTGCAATCCTTCGAATTACTCCTGACCTCCCCCTGCTCTGAGAACTCGGGGCGCCCGGGAAGGACCGCCTGGCAGCCCGACGCTCGGCAGCCGCGCGGGGGTTGCGGCCCGCGGCCAAGGGGCTGTGGCCGGGAGCAGGCTTCGGGACACGCGATGTCCGCGCCTCTTGTGGCTCAGAATCGAGACTCGAAGTGGAACACTGGCCACACCAGGACCCCAGGGTACCACACCAGCCCAGACGCCCAGTGGGCGAGTGGGCGACGGTAACGGGCAATCGTGGCAGGCCGCCACAAGGCTAGATTGAACGACGTGAGGATGAGAGGCCTGCCACTGCCTAATGCTCTGTGGGTCAACTCCGATTCCCGCGCGCGAGAGCGAGCCTGCGCAGACAAGCGAATTAACGCCCGCGTGCTTCGCCGCAGCACGCGGGCTGGCCGAGGCAGGACATCGCAGTGGCAGACGGGCAGAGATGGAAGTCTGTGGCTTTCGCCTCCCCCTGTCGCTTTCACGCTCTCCTCCGGTCGCACCCCTGGCTGCCGACCGCAGGCCAGGTGAGACCGCCGACCGCACACTGCATCTTGGCCTGCCTGGGCGAAAAGTGCGGCCGTGCCGCGGGAGCGTCTGTCTGAGCAGTGCCGCGTGCTGCTCGTGCAGCAATTACAATGCTGGCCTCCTCGGCCAGCGGCGCGCCGCTCTGGGCTCGTCCCTCGGAAGCAGCCGGGCCCCAGCGATTCGCTGTGCACCAACTGGCGACCTGCAGGGAGGCTTGTCAAGCGGCCCTACCAGAGTGGAACCAGAGCAGGACGGAGCTGAACGACCAGGGACTCCAAGTCTGGCGCCCGAATTTGCGGCAGCATGCGCGAGACGGCTGTGGCGCAGTAGCTACCCGACCGCCCGACCACTGCACTCAAGAGCGGGCGCGCACCCACGTGCGCGCAGAAGTACGAGACTGTTTTTTATCCATATCCATCGTGAGGGGGCCCAGGCGAGTGCGCGTCGAAAGGACCCCCCCCCCCGAGAGTAAATCCGGAAGTGGAACAGCCCTCGCACAGCCGCAGCCCCGCTGCGGGACAGCCCTCCCGAAGCGAAGGAGGAGCCCGAAGGCCGTAGCCTTGCGGAGGACGGCAGTGGCGCAGCATCGAAGCAGCTGGAGGAAAGGACAAGGAACGGGGGTAGAGGGGCGAGGGCGCTGGTGGCCTGAGGAACCGACGCCCTGGGACAGCATGAGGATGCATGTTTGCCCCAGGGGGCCCGAATACATCCACAGCCTCCGCCAGCCGAGGTCTCCGAAGACCGATCCCCCAGGCGGTGGCTGTGGATGAATCCCCGCCTCGGAGCACGTCAGAACTGTCACTGGTCATCTGCGCAGAACGATCTCGGGCCCCTCTGGCGGACTGCCCTTGCATGCGGCCAGGCCCTCGGGCGTGGGGCCAGCTTCACAGCGGGCCCATCTCCTCGCAGCTGATCGCGGTGGCCACCAGCGTGGTCTTGCTGTCGCCTCGCGCCTTGCTCCCCTGTCGAACCCTCTGATGCTGCCCGCGCAACTTGGCCTCCTTGGCGGCCACCATCAAGTCATGGTAGAGGTCGAAGGGCACATCCGTGGCCTCGTCGATGGGGATGCTCATGGTCGAGTTGCTCGACATCGAGCCCCTCAGGGTCGAGCAGGCCGTGGAGGTCGAGCCAGTCGAGGTCTCCGAGTCGCAGGTGGCCAGTCGACGCTCTCTAGGCTGCCGCCTCTTGCCGTCCGCGTCCACGTCGGCCCTCGGGCCCTTGCTGTCCATCCTGCTGCTGCGCCGGATGCCCGAGAGCCAGCGCGGCAGCACGGAGGGCACGGAGCTGGCGCGGCACTTGGAGAGCTTGGGGAAGGACGGCATGACTCTCCAAGTTGACAGTTGGTGAGCACTGGAGATCTACAGCTACCTGAGTCAAAACAGCTTGGGCCAAAACGGCGATGGGACGAACACGTATGTGCACATCGCGATGCACGTCACGACGGATGCGACGATGCAGACGGCGCTGACGCTGGCGCTGGCGAGGGCAATGATGGCAATTGTGGTCGCGATCACCGCGGCGATTGTTGGTGAACGCATGACCATGCCGATGAAAACGGCGAGGTCCTGGGGAAACAAAAAGCTACCGATGCCGCTACTCCTCGGACCTCTCCCGGGATGCGTTCTGACCAGAATTTCGGTGCGAATCCAGCGGTGGCGACGAGGGCCTCCCAGGAGGCCTAAAAAGGAGAAAACTGCGAAAGGGTAGAGGTATAGGTACCTTTTCCTCCTCTGAGGTCCTGGGGGGAATGTCTAACGCAGATGAAGGGGGAAGGTGGAGGGCAAGGGCGGCATAGAATCAGGGAAACGCCCAGGGGAGAGGCGGAGAGTCCCAGGTAAGATGGGCAAGACGAGAAAAAAGGAGGAGCCAAAGGAATCGGCGCACCGCGCGGTCGTGCTTCGCTTGCCCGAATAACGCCCAGCTTGCGCGCGCGGTTCTTATGCTTCCCAAGCAGCAAATGCAGCAACGGTTCTTTCAAGTCCGTCGCCGCGCTGGCACTGGCAAGAGCGTCCCCATGTTCGTTCACGTCGCTGCACTTGGTGTTGAAACATATTATTGCAGCTGCCTGTTCCCCGAGATCCAGGGCGTTTCCTGGGCTTCTCGCGTGATTTTTAAAGACAGAACTCATTGGAATAAGACATATGGTTCGAGGTCTCCGGGCCCGGATGATGGTACCACGACGGGGCCTTGGGAATGGCATGGCAGCGGGATTGGCCAAAAGGCAGTCCGCCGCCCCCTGTTGGCTTGACACCTGGGCACACGCGTGCCAAATATCTGAGTGTAGTGGCTGTTTCCCATACATCCTACATGGGGTTCTTGTTCCCCGCATCCTAAATGGTTTTCTTGATTTCTCTGGACACTCCCGCACAGTAACCTCACCACCCTCCTAATCCTCCTCCCTCCTCCTCCTCCTCCTCCTCCTCCTCCTCCTCCTCCTCCTCCTCCTCCTCCTCCTCCTCCCCCATCCACCTCCTCCTCCTCCTCCTCCTCCCCCATCCACCTCTTCTTTCATCATCAATGTCGTCGCCACCACATCTCGTCATCAGCATCTCACGCGCATGCGCACGCAACATTACCATCATCATCATCATCATCATCATCATCATCATCATCATCATCATCATCATCATCATCATCATCATCATCATCATCATCATCATCATCATATCATCATCGTCTTCTTCATCATCAGCATCATCATCATCAGCGTCATCATCATCATCATCATCATCATCATCATCATCATCATCATCATCATCATCATCGCCGTCGTCATCAGAATCACCAGAATCACCCCCACCACCATCATCATCATCATCATTATCATCATCATCACCATCACCATCATCATCATCACCACCAGTATCATCATCAGCATCACCATCGTCATCATGACCACACCATCCCCATGACCATCCAAATCCTCACACCATCATCACCATCATCAACACCGACATCGCCACTACCACTAACACCATCATCAACATCATCAACATCATCGTCGTTGTCATCATCCCCATCCCAATCAGCATCACCACTCTGCCCACCTGTCCTCCATTCACTGGCACCATCGCCATCACATCTCCATGTTCATCCTGCTCACCATCCCACCATGGTCACCGACGATCACCATTACCGACAATCACCATCATCGTCATCCCCGCCGTTCCAGCACCACCATCATAAAGTCAAGCACTCAGCGTCCGCGCCTCTCACTCAGTCTTCCTCGGCACCACCACCATCACCACCATCACAGACGCAGGCACCTCGTTTCACACGCATCACCATCACCATCATCAACATTGCTATCATCATCGCCACCATCAGCCCGTCACCATTACCATCATGATCGCCCACCACTTCATCATCACCACCGGCAATCACCACCAGCATCATCATCAAAAACATCATCATTGCAAAATCTTACACACTCACACACTCAGCATTCATCTTGCGGACGTTTCGAGCGGGGGCGTCGTTCGTGAGTGAATCCCGAGGACGTCTCGAGCGGGAACTTCCTCCCTATCCGGCCTCCGCACTTCATATGTATAGTCCAAGGCCGTCATCGGAAAAAAAACCGTAACTGCCGTCACGTTTGGGCTCATGAGGGCTGGTTCTGGAGGAAATCTCGGGACGGAGCCTCGTTCATGAGTGAATGGCGAAGAATTCGCGAGCGGGGGCTCCTTCTCCATGGAGCCCCACCTCACGTTTTTAACCCGAGCGGAAAATCAGATCGGCCCACCCGCGCATTCCCCACCTCTGTCTCACGCGCACACACCCTGTACCCATTATTTCCTTTTCACAGTCATCACCCTCAGCATCACCAGTATTATCATCAGCATCATCAGCAGCATCATCATCACCACCACCATCACCATCACCATCATCTTCACCAGCATCGTGCCACTAACCCTCGCCAGGAGACTCTTTTGTGTCTCGGGCCAGGCAGGTCCGACGAACAGGGAGGCCCCTGGGCTGCGCTCGGCGGAGCGAAAGAAAGAGAGAGAGAGAGAGAGAGAGAACGAGGGGAGGGGCACACACAACACCACAACATAGCACAAACGAACAAGGAGGAGAGAGAGAGAGAGAGAGAGAGAGAGAGAAAGAAAGAGAGAAAGAGAGAGATGACAGACAAAAGGGAAAGGGGCGGAGCGGGCGGGCACAGAAAAGGCTTGAGCCGTGGCGGTTGCAGGTGTCGCAAGCTTGCAGCCGGACGGCCCTCTATCGCTCTACGATTCCAGTCCAAGAACCAACCATCGTGCCACTAACCCTGGCCAAGAGACTCTTTTGGGTGTCTCGGGCCAGGCAGGTCCGACGAACAGGGAGGCCCCTGGGCTGCGCTCGGCGGCGCGAAAGAACGGGAGGGAGGACGAGGGGCGGGGCACACACAACACCACAACACAGCACTAACGAACGAGGAGGAGGGAGAGCGAGAGAGAGAGAGAGAGACAGAGAGAGAGAGAGAAAGAGAGAGAGAGATAGAGAGAGAGAGAAAGAGAAAAGACCCCTAGACACCCCGAACGGGTTTCTGGAAATTGCCGCATTCTTAAACTGATCTGATTTGTCGCAAACGGCACAGGCGGTTCGCATCGACGCTTCGTTTCAGAGCCCGGGCAAAGCAGGAACAAAAACCGAGGGGGATAAGACTCAGCAGCGCGAGTCCAAAGTTTGCCCGAGCTCTGATCCAGACGTGGGGCTCTAAAGACTGACTGCTGACGCCGCCTCGACCGTGACAGAGAGCGGGAAGTTGTGCGGAAAAACTCCGAGCCCAAAGCTGCACCCTGGTGCCAGACGCTCGATCGGGGGGACCTTCCACAGCCAACTGGTCCCGGGGTTCTCGAGGGCCGCGCGGGTGCCTGCGCGAAGGCAGCCGCGGACAACGCGCAAACAGAAACGCAACTGGTCGCTGCCTCGTTTGCAGGCCTCCGAGGCCCTCGGTCCCAGGTTCTGGAGGCCCCACGCGTGCTCGGAACTACGCAGCCAGCACCCGCGGGAACTGGGGGGGCCGTGGCGGGCTTGGGGCCAGGTGCAGCAAGGGGCCCCCGTCCATGCAGAAGAGACGACAGTGCTTGAAATCCACCCTCAAGTTGCAGACTGGGCGATCCGATGGTTCAGGTCGAACGCGGGCTGTTCCAAAATGTCCACTGAGATCGAAGCGAAACCTCGGGCCCCCATGGCCCTTGAAATCCCCGCTTCCCCAGCGAAAAGCTCAAAGAAAACATAGCTCTGGCGAGTCCTTGCTAAACCTAAAGCGCACCGCAACGCGCGGCGAAGGCGAAGCCCTAATTCAACATCAGTCAGCGCCTGCGCGCCAGGAAGGGCGCCGGTGGCAGTGCCGCGCCGCCCAACGCGACGCTGGCGAGGCTCGCTTGCATCGCGCGCGGCCAAAATCGAGCGCGGCCTGCCCTGACCTCCAGCGGGCTGCGCCGATTGGCCAGCCGGTCGTGCGAGGCGCCGCCGTGCCGGAGGCCGCGCGCGGTGATGCCCATGGCGGCCGCGCCCGGCGCCTCCGTCGCCTCCTGGATCCTGTCCGTGATGTCGCTAGGGGCGAAGCTCCAGATCCGCTGGCCTGGGGCGCGGCGCCTCTGCGTCAGCCGCGGCGGGCAGGGCGCAGGAAGGCGAGGTCGTCCAGCGCGACGCTCTCGTCCCAGGCGCCGACCTTGGCGGGCTTCTCGAGCTCCACTGGGCCCAGGAGGAGGCCCCAGTACATCGCCTGAGGGCCTGCTGCGGCCACGGGGGGCACCAGCTGGAGCGACGTCAGAGAATCGCACTCGCCGGGCCGCAGGCACGCGTGGAACGACAAAGGATGTCTACCACCTGCTCGATCAGGTTGCGTGATAGCAGGTGCCGACGATGGCCAGCATCAGCGCGCAGGGCACCGGCAGGCGGGTCTTGCGAGGCACCGCCTTTGCCCAGCCCACCAGACCCCTCACCGAGCGGGGGAGGCTCTGATCCCCGTAGCGGCATGCCTCGGGGTAGTGGAACTTCACCGCTGCTATCGTCGTGCTGGCCACGTCCCCTGCCGTGCCCATGAAGAACAGCTTGTCGAGGTCGAGGGCCAGTGAGTCGTCGAGACCTCTCGCGATCGCCCAGACGAGGCCCGCCTCCAGGGCCCACTGCAGGAACGACCTCATCTCCTGGAAATAATCCTTCCGCGTAGCTTTGACCACCGAGCTGCTCTCGAGGCGCGCCATGCGGGGCGAGTCCAGGAGGGGCTCCAAATTCGGCGATGATCGACGGCGCCGGGCGCGCCGCGCTGCCGCCGCCACCGGAGAAGGTGCCGCCAGCCCGACCAGCCAGCTGCCTTGGGTCGCCACCAGGG